GCACGTGGCTGCGCCAAACGCCGCGGCAGCAAGGGAGAAGGGAAAGCAACGGTGGCCCAACCCGAAGGTCTCCCGAATATCCAAGCTGTCGCCGCCCGCCCACCCACCCGAGGATGCAAGGGGGGAGAATTAAGTCACCCCCCGAAAAGACGTCCTAGCCGTTTTTTCGGGGGTCAAAAAAAAATAAGGCCCGGCCTTATTATGTGAGAAACACGGTATCATTCATTAAAACTTGAAAGTAATGGCTTGCTAGAAAAGGTATGTTAGCAGTTAATGTTTTCCTTAGTGTTATCTGGAATTGGAACTTGGTTGATTTTATTGATTTATAATATAGTGTCTCAGATTTATAAATGTAATTTCTCTCCAGGTGAAATGGAAAAAGTCAGATGTGAAGTTTGAAGATAGATTTGACAAATATCTTGACCCATCTTTCTTTCAACACAGGGTATGCTTCTTTTATATTTCATTATATTGAAACCTATGTACTCAAGATAGTGCCCAGTGATATTTTCCTTGCTGCTCAAGGTTTTTTTTTAATAATGGGAAGCTAGCATATTGCAAAATACCAGCTTGAAATGAAATATTTATTTCCCTAAATGTTTGGTGGTATCAAGTAGACCAAAGAAGCACTTGTATAAAATGATGGGTGGCTACAACCAAATGTTTTATTTGGAATTCTGTTTTTCTCTCCCCACCCCCCCACCCCCCCAAACCCAGAGGTAAGATAGATGAGAAAAGATATTGGGAAGTAATCTCACTAATTAGTTTAGTGGTAAATGATGTTTTGGTACAAGCCATAATCACCTTGGCAACTGTTTTTTTTAAAAAATTATCCATTATGTACTCAAGATGTACAAAAATCTATTCCAAATATAAGTCCACCACTCCAAAAGGATAAGGGACCCCTGCATCATCATTTTTTTAAAAATGCTAAATAACTCAAGTTTACAAAATTCTTTATAATGACTTAAGAACTGCACTACTGCTTAGGTCCAACAATGTACAGTTCAAACCATTTTTAAAGCTGATTTCAACATTTTAAAATTGGCTAACATTGGCAAGGTCAGTAATGTCTCTGATTAGTATGCCATGTTGTTTGATCTTGATCCTGTCCATATTAATTTTGTTTTCTCTGTGTTTTTCTGGACTTGGAGTGTGTGTATACAGTGTACAGTGGGTGTATACAGTATTTATTTAGTGACTCTTCGAAGATACAATGGCACTGGGGAAAAAAACATGACCATTTTTCACATTTATGACTTGCAGCATCTCTATTGCCACATGATTTACATTTGGATGCTTTACAATTGACTCACATTTATGATGGTCGCAGTGTCCTGGAGTCATGTGATTCCCTTTTGAGACCTTCTGACAAGCAAAGTCAATGGGGAAACAATATTCACTTAACCGTGTTACTACATAATTTAAGAACTGCAGTGATTCACTTAACAAATGGTGAGAAAAGTCATAAAATGGGACAAAACTCACTTAACAACTTTCTCCCTTAGCAACATAAATTTTGAGCTCAATTGAGGATTATCTATCTACACACCAGTGGTGGTATTTAGCCGGTTCATACCGGTTCACATGAACCGGTAGGAAGGATTTCGTGTGGGTTGCCGAACCCGTAGTAACTTCTGGCTGGCCACGTCCCTGACACGGTCGCCTCTCTCTCGCTTTCCCCGCCCTGCCCGATGCTTGCCCGCGTGGCTCGCCCAATGCTCACATGGCTTGCCCTACCCAGTCACTCCTCCCCTCCTATGTGGCACGCTGGGTCCTCGTGGCTTGCCATTTTAGCCTTCCCACGTGGTGCCTGCACCTGCCTGCTGCTCACAGGTAAGCCTGCAAGTTGCGCTAGCCCCCTTCCCCGTTCCTGGATCTAGGCAGGGGCCCCCACAGTTCCCAGGCTCAGCTGGCTGGCTTCCACACCAGCGCGGCCCCATCCCAGGCGGCGCTGGCTAGGGCCTATCCAGCTGCCCTCCCTCCCTGCCCTGTCCCTGTCTAGCTTGCTTAGCTGCCAGCGGCGTGGCTCCATCCCATGCGGCACTTGCCACCTGGCAAGCTTCCCCTCCCCACTGCCCCCGGCCTCCAGCTTGCCTGGCTTGCTGGTGGCAGAGAGAAAGGCGAGCCAGGGCTGACCCGTCGCCTCTCTGGTCTCCACCAGCCTGTATCTCGCCCCCTGCCTGAATTCTCCACAGCTGCTGGACCTTGCCTGCTAGGGGTGGGTGTGGGGGGGGCGACCAGGGAGCACAATGCTATGCTGTCTGCATCGCCCCTTTACCTGCCGCCCCTTTCCTCTCCCTCCTGCCAACCTGCGCGCTTTGGGTGAGTGCGGGCGGCCGCTGTGAGAATGCTGTGAGTGAGCCCTAATGCTGATGGTGGGGAAAGAAGATCTACACTGGGTTTGCTGCGGTCAGCCAAAGGGCTGCCTGGGGGGGAGGCATGGCGAGGCTCGGCTGCCTTTCAGGCCCAGCTTCAGCTTCCATGGGGCCTTCCATGTGGGAGGCCTGACAGCAAATGCCTCCCCTGAGGGTCGTCTGCTTGCCTATCCGCTGGCTGGGCTTGCCTGGAAGTCCCCTTGTCGCAGGCTGATGCAGGATCCAAGGCGGGGCAGAGGTCGAGCAGATGGCAGCCCAGAGCAGGGCCCAAAAGGCAGTCAAGCCTTGCTAGAGCAGATCTTCCTTCCCCGCCATCAGCCATACCTTCCAGCCCATGGAGCTCGCACCGATGTCACAGCGGTGGCCCACACTCTGCCAAAATGCTTGGCCTGGTGAGGGAGGGGCGGCTGCCCTGGGCGATGCAGGTGGCATAGCCTTGTGCTTCTGGTCGCCCCCCTCCCCCGTGCCTCCTGGCAGGCAAGCCCCAGCAGCTGCCGGAGAATCCGGGCAGGGGATGAGATGCAAGCTGGCAGGAGGAAGCCAAGTGGCAACGGCTCTGCCCTGGCTGCCTTGCCTTTCCCTCTGCCACCCTTTTAAAGGGGGAGGGGTGTGTTTCATGGAAGAGTAGGATTGCTTGGCTTTAAGAAGAATGGCGTATTAATGGAACTAGGGTGCTCGCAGGCATGGGTGAGCGCTAAGAGAAAGGGTGAGCATGGCGAACTTTTTCCATCTTTCCGTGTATCCTTGATCCTCCTTATTGCCCAAAGAGGCTGTAACTAAATGCCCAAAGATAACGCTAGAAATTGACAACTACTGCTGCTTGAGTAGTGGGCCAATAAGGGACTTCGTTGGTGGGGTCATGTGGGGGAAGTTTGTGTGGAAAGACGATTGGGAAACCAAGGAAATGGTTAGCGGGAGTGAAGCGGTGGAGCAGGGGGCGGGGCCGAGTGCGCGCGGCAGTTAAGGGGGTTTGTGTGGGAGTGTGGACTTGGCGCTTCTCGCATCTTTCCCGCCCCTCTTGTTTCTTGTCAGGCTGTATTAACATCCTCCTTTTTTTGTGGTGCCTAATGGTGGGACAAGTTGAACAAATGAAGCTCCCCCACCCCCCAACAACTGCGGTTGGCAGAGGGCGATACAGGCAGCATAGCCTCGTACTTCCTGGTCACTTCCCCCACCTCCTGGCAGGCGAGCCCCAGATGCTGCCGGAGAATCCGGGTGGGGGATGAGATGTGGGGTGGCAGGGAACTGAATGGCGACAGCTCTGACCTGTCTGGTTTGCCTTTCTCTCTGCCACTAGCTGCAGGAGGAAGGTAAGGTTTCAGGAAGTTGGGAAAGCCAAACCACTCCCTAGCCCAGAACTGCCATTGGGTGGAGAGAGGACGCAAGGCTGCAGCACATGCCTCGCTTGAAGTTCTCAGCCCTTTCCTTTCGCCAAAAGTGGGAGGGGAAGAAGCCTTGCCTGCCAGCTTTTCCAGGCAATGTGGAACTGGAGACTGGCCAGGAAGAACCCTCGTAAGGAGCGGTGCTGCCGGGTGCTTGAAAGGGTGTGTGTGTGTTTGTTTCAGGAGGGTCTCCTCTCCTAGCTTTAGAAGGAGGAAAGGAAGGGATAGAAAGAGAGAGAGGGAAAGAGGAAGGAAGAGAAAGAGAGGAAGAGAGAGAGAAAGGGAGGGAGGGAGAGAGAAGGAAAGAGTGGGAGACAGGGAGAGGGGGGAGAGAGAGGGAAAGAGAGAGGGAGAGAGGGGGAAGAGAGAGAGAAGGAGAGAGGGAAAGAGAAAGAGTGAAGGAAGAGAAAAGAAAGAAAAGGGAAAGAAAGAAAGGGATAGACAAAGATAGACGGAATGGAAGGAAGGGAGAGAAAGAGCGGGAGGGAGGGAGGAGAAAGTGAATGAGATATATGGGTGAATGGATGGATAGATAGATACATGGAAGGAGGGAGGGAGAGAGAAAAAAGGGAGAGAAAGGAAGGACACAAACCCTGGCTTCAGAAGACTTTTTGAAATAGCACAGCAGGCTAGGGCTGGAAGGGATCTCGGAGATCATCTTCTACTCCAAGGGTCTTCAAATGTTGCAAGTTTAAGACTTGTGGACTTCAACTCCCAGAATCCCTGAGCTAACATGACTGGAGGAGGAATTCTGGGAGTTGAAGTCCACAACTCTTAAAGCTGTCAGGTTTGAAGACCCCTGTTCTAGTCCAACCCCCTGCTCCAGCAGGAGATCTTATATCATCTGGAATCTGGATTATTTTGGTTCCTCTAACAGAGAGGAAAATTGGCAGAAGAGTTTACTAGGACAAGGCAGAAGGCAGAGATAGTCCTTCACTTGAGCCCAAAATTTTGGTTGCTAGCAAGAGTGTTGTTCAGTGAGTTTTACCACATTTTATTCAATCCATGACATCTCCTGGGTCTAACAGTCATTTGTAGGCTAGGGAAGTAAATCTGAAGGCGTGTGCAATGTTCTAATGTACAGAAATTATAGATAAGTGTGTGGCAGAAAGTGAACTATGGGTGTGTTTTTCCAAACGCAGTGAGGTTGAATGTGTATAGTTTTAGAAGAGCTCTGTGTGTGTGTGTGTGTGTGTGTGTGTGTGTGTGTGTACATACACACAGTATATATAGTAGATAATGTATCTTTTTGTGTGCCTATACACACACTATGCTATGTAATATATGGCAGATATACATAGGATTAAATAGTGTATTTTGGATACTGTAAATAAAAAGAGAGGGAAATTGTATCTCTTTGAGGCAAGGAGAGGCCAGGCAAGGCACCCCTTGATGTGAGTGATGTCAAGTTGGCCACGCCCACCCAATCACATGCCCACCCAGCATGCCCACCCAGTCACACAACCACCAAGCCATGCCCACCAAATAAGCCACATCCACGATAGTAAATTTTTTTGAATCCCACCACTGCTACACACACACATATACACATATACATACATACATACATATGTTTTTGTCTTCATTGATCTGTCCTGATATAAATGAGTCGAGTTCATTTATATATAATGTGACAATATAAATATGCTAAATGAATATTTACTAAATAGTGATACAAAGTATGC